AACCATTCCCAAACATCTTTGATGTTTTCCTGTTTGGCTAGGTCACGGACCCATATGCTCCAAAAGAACCCAATGTCAAGGCGGCGGAGGCAGAAACTCACCAGTTCATATTAATTTCAAGACTCTTCAAGCTTTCAAGCCTTGCAGAATTACACTACGACACACTCTACACTCTACACTAATACATACGTGTTCCTGCTTGGCTAGGTCATTGAGCGGACTCACTCCAAGCCCGAGGCAGAGCAAAGTTCAGCTGAGTCATCCAGAACTATTATATACCTGTTTCAAAGCCTGTTTCTCTGTTTGGTTTTATTGCAAAAGCGGAAGCTCCCAAAGAACCCAATGAACAAACATAATGAACTCTTCAGATTTGATAAGTTTATCAGAAATTCTCATTTTCAGTACATGTTTGATTTTTTGACTTGACTAGGAGAGGACCGAGAAGTGCGAGAAGTTGAATGCTTCCGAATCCGAACCACCTCAACAGGTGGCACGATCAGTTTACAGTTTCCAGTTTCCAAGTATACTTGTTTGTCTAAGTGTTTGCCTCAGGCTGCCGCGGTGTCTCCCTTGACTGGTGCCGCCGGTCGTTCTTCTGAGGACGATGTGCTTTTGCGGCGTTTACGGTTTACACTTAGCTGGTTGCTGTCGTTTACTTGTGAATTTGTGTTTTCATTTTGTCTCTTAGTGTCCAGGTGGCCCCAGACACACATGTTTTCCTGGATCGCTTTGAGCCTGTGTCTTTTGCTGTATTGCTTACCTTTTGTCCGGTCAAGGTATGGAAGGCTCGACGTGCTGAACTTCAGAAGACGATGACCGTGAAAGATTTGAAGTCTCATTTGAAAAAGCTCGCATTAGATGATGCCGCCAAGAAATCCCTTTCTCAAGCCACTAGAAAGGATGAATTCATCGAACTAGTGATTCGACACGAGCAGAGTGTTGAAAACACCAAGCCTGTATCCAACTTCTTTGCCAAAAAGGCATGATCACGATGTGAATTCTGAATATGGCAGTGCAGTCGCAGAACCCTACGGTAGTTTCAAAAAAATTCTTTCTGATGTAGAAACAGTGGAAAGACTGGGAATGTGTGTATATGGGTTCGGCGAATCAACGATTTTGGCGTTGACAACCACTTGTGTGCAAATGGAAAAAAACTGAGAGAAGCACCTTGACTTGTCGATTGGTTGGGTCGTCGTTGGATCGTCGTCGCTTGTTTTTTTATGTTTTTTTATGTGCAAGCTCACCCGCAAAGACCTCTTTCAAAGGAGTTCCATGGAAACGCAACTGATACTTGTCTTGGACCATTCCCGTCCCTATTTTTCAGGGATGCAGGAAAAAAACCTTTTCACACCACAATTTGACGTTTTCTATTACTTTATTCGATGAATGTACACGCGACCCTGCGCACAAACGTCACTCGTAATCTCAAATCGGCTCGTTGGACTCAGTAGTCACCACGACAAATGAGGAATTGATAAACATATATGTCTGTTCATGCCCAGGTTGTGACCTCTGAAGACCTACATGGAGTGGAACGCACTTAATGTATCTTAATGTTATTCTGACGTTTCGGAGACAGAATTTGATGAACACCCACGACCAGTTTTACGCGCCAAACGCCCGCAAGAACCCGCAAAACGCCAGCAAAAACCCGCAAACGCCCACAAATCCCAGAAAGTAGGTCAAATGGGTGTTTGAGAAACCTCTAAATTCGTTGAATTGCAACTCTTTTGGGCTGAATGTCATGAGTAGGATTGCCTGCTCGACTTGGACAATCTTTTGGTCATAAGCTGTTGGGGAGAACATGGGTGCCTAGTCATGTTTTCCTACGAGCATGATGTCGACATGAGTTCATTTGTTAGCAAAAATGCAATTATGGTTCCTTGTGCATACTCGTATATCATGACCGTATCTTGTAGTTTTGCTGCGCTCGAGCCTGCTTATAATTATTGGAGCTCTAGGCCAGTGTCTGATCGACCAGGGATTAGTGAAAGCCGCTCTTTCTTAGAGGGGTAAATCGACTGCTCAAGCGATGGCAAACCCAGCTGCACTTGATTTCGCAACAAAAAGTTTGTGCAAACATAAGAGATCATACCTTTGAACTCCCGTGAAACCGACCAATCATCATCATCATCATCATCATCCATCAGTCATCCAGAGGCCACGGGGAGGGCAGTGTGTGACCATGCACGACCACTCTTTGATTGAATCGTATGTGCTCGACCACTTTTCAACTGATCGTCACAATAAAGTAGTACAAACCACATTGACCAAAATATTTTGGGATTTTGAAGGTCTGGGTATATTTATATATATATACAGTCTATAAGATCTATAAGCTTCCCAAGAACATGTCCATTTTTGAAACTTTTGATGGCCCAATGGATGGTAACGTACTGCTGACTTTAATTTGGCCTGTTCTACAAGCGCAAGTCGAGTCTCTACATGACTGCTTTTTGGTCATTCCTGGGATGGTTCACCGTGCACCGTTTCGGGGAGCGAGTCCGAGTTCCGACCTCCGTGTGAATCCGTCCAAGTTCTTCACACTCTTGGGGTCAAAGTGGCCCAAGCACGAAGACCAAACAGCAGGGTGTCCACTTCCACAGAATGGGGATGAAGATGGGGAGTGGGAGTGGAGTGTATCCGAATGGGAAGCATTTTTTTTTCCAGTGCCGTTTCCGAATCTTGAGCCCTTGGGAGGACTTGATTCGGAACTGCCAGGAAGGCATCGCGTATCCTCCCTACATGGTCGCCTGGTGCGATTCACGCTCTCTCGTCCACCAAGAAAAGTGGAAAGGGGAAACCACGTTTTGGAGTCCTGCTTGCAGTCACGCACTTTCTTGTTCGTAGCAAGAATGCTTTAGTAGGCCAGGAGCCCCTAGGCCTAGGCCCTAGTAGCGTCCTTGCTCCTAGTAGTAAGGCCTCCTTGCCCCTGTTTAGAAAGTGTACTCTAAGCGTCGAGGCTGCGATGTTCCAGCGTCGGAGTCGGAGAGTGGAACGGGCCCGTCATGTCGAATCCTTCATGCCAACAGATGTGTTTTCGACCGATGACTTTGGTTTTCACGACCGATGCGAAGGCAAGAGGCAAAACATTGCAAAACAACATCCATGCAACGACCTTCCCATGATAGACAAGGCTCCTTTTGTCGTCGTATTGTCTCACATGGCAACCCAGAAAGACAATAAAATCTGCTGAAACAAAGGTACACCAGAGACCAAAGTGTTGCCTGATGCAGCTACTGTTTGTTATTTGTTCAATGTGTTTCTCTTTTTGTTCACCGAGGAATGAGCCGTGATTTTCTTGAAAAGAAGGCCCCGGCTACGGCAGCAAAGTGTTCCCATCTCCTCACATTCCCTAAGATATCATTATAAATGATAAGGTCCGGTCCTCCCCACTGCATGTCAATTCGCTGCAGGGCTTTCTAAGATGCTTTAGCATGCTTTAGCTGTTTGGTCTACGGTTCATCAGCGAGTCTTGCTTGGCTGATGAAGCCCAACAAGTGGCTGGTTAGCACAAGACTGCAGTGACGTAGCCATTTGCAGGTGCAAACTTCGTGCCTCTCATTGCCATGTGTGGCCTGTAGAACGCCTTCTCGTGCTCCCTCTGGACATGTCAATTCAAACAACGGTGGTTCAACACGATTTTGGCCGGGAAGGTTTTTCAGCTTCACACTCCACAACAAGCCGCAGTAGGCCCAACAAGCCGGCCTGCAGAGGATCCTCTCCACGTCGTGACGGTGTTCTCATAATATGAACGCTTAGCTGGGCGCTTTCTTCATAGCCGGCGCCAGCTGTACAGATCAGATGGTGAAGAAAACCCAGGTCTTGGAACAGATGGTCGGACAGTTGCTGTTTATCTCGCCTTTGTTCAAGACTCCAGCGGTATTTTCGCGGTCCATGGGATCGGTTGGGGGGTGATTGTGTTGGACATCTGAATACAGTCCATCCAATTCGCATTTAACCTCCTCACCAGAAAAGTGATGCGGTCGGTTTCAGATACTTTCAATGTTTAACTCTTTTTCTAGTGAGTTGAAACCAACAACCAAAATAGGATGTGGAGCCATTGAGAAGCTATTCCTTTTCGCCTTCATCTTCGGGGAACACTTGGCGGAGCTGAGGTGGAGAATGGCGGCCACAACAATCTGGAGGTGCCTGGGCGTGGCTGGAAGAGGTTGAAGAAGTCAGAGCCGTTGGCGACCTGTATTTTTGTTGAACTAAAGTTTAGGGCAAACTGACTTGTCCAGTGTGTTGGACTGCATGCTCTTGGGTCCAGCAGTTTGAGTCTATGCATGTATTGTTGCATCCAAGATATTCCTAGATACTTTCTCTCCACGGTCGAGACAAGGTCTTATATATATAGATGCTCGAGGTTGAGATCACATCTTAAGATATCTTAAGCTGGGCTGCAAACCTATATAAACGGATTGGTTTTGATGATATTGAATCGTTCTTGCTTGAATGGTCTTTTGCGCAACACCATAGTTTGTCCGCCTTCTTTATGAGCGCATGAAGACAGACAGGTCAGCGCAGAAAGAACACTTCAACCCCCACCATCATGGCTGGTGAAGCCGTCCTGGTGAAGCACAGACAGGTCTGGGCAGCCCGGGCAGTGTTCTATGCACACCGCAGGGCAGGCACTAATGGGCCCACTGAGGTCGTTGCTCGACAGCCTTTCTACGAGAACTTCACCAAGTTCCTCCAATGGCTGGAGAAGAGTGACATCGCAGACGAGCTGACACTTGTTCATGCGAAAGATCAGTGCTCCCCCCAAAGAGATTGATTTAAGTAGAGGCCCCTCAAAAAGGATCTCTCTCTAGACTCTATATACTGTATATATATATGATTATATATGTATATCTGCCCAAAACTGACCAAGCCACATATGTTTAGAAGCATTCGGATGATTCTCCTCTATTAACTGATTGCTAGGTGAATTTTGGGAGTGTCCTCTGGAGCACGGATTCTCCTCCTTAGACAACCTTAGACGGTAGAAGCCGGCTCATCTAGACATGGGGCCCATATGGGCCCATAGAAGAGCATGTTTTTGGGGACTGGCGGACCAACTCTTCAAAGGTTGGACCAACTCTTCAAAGGTTCCGGTCCATGATCAGTCAATGAGCTGTCGAGACCGCTGTCGAGCCCGTTATTTTTTGCGGTTTTATTGGCTGAGTCTTGGTGAACGTCTAATCCGTGACATGGAACGGGACACTGTCCCAGTTGTACCGGAAAGTGGATGAAAGTTGCAGAAAGTGCTGCTTCTAGTTGCTTGCCATGGATAAAGTGCAAGACACAACAGACAAATCATCAATGGGGATGCTGTCAAGCCAAGTTGGATGTAAAAGTTGCGTTTGCACCTCAAAGCATTGTCGCCTTCTGTTTAGGTCTGTAGGTATGTACGTAGAGCAAACTGCTACGAAGAATCGTAGACACGTGCAGATGACTCATAGTCTATTGATTTATGATGGTTTATGCATGACGCTCGGTCTTCTCGAACGGCTTAACATAATAACTATATTATATTTGTATAGTACCTCAACACAACACTAACTGAGGAAAGAAACTAATACTTTGCTAGGGCTGCTATAGCTACACAGTGCTCGTCCCATTGGGATGTCAGTCTGGAAAAAGCCGCTGCAGCCGGCAGTTTGGTGTATGGCACAAATTTGTACTACTTTGCCAATTGAAACAAACAACCATGCACTTTCCATATGAAGTGGTACCAACGAAACGGCCGTCCAGAGCAAACAAGACATGTTTCTGCTCAAGAGCTCTACTGCTTGCTCACCAATCTCTCATTTTTTGGGCTATAATATGCTATAACTATATATAAAATACTATCTATAAACGATCTATATGATATAAGGTGGCACCAAGCCAAGCATTTGGGATGATCAAATCAGTGGTGCTTGAATTTAGAGGTCTTTATGTTCTGAAACTGGGAAAAGCGCTCTGCTTTGTGAACACCGCGTTCCCGAGTCGACCAGTACTGTTGTTGGTGGAGCTTCTACACGGACTTGCTGGAAGACAAGGGATCGCTGATGGTTGACATCGCACCCACGAGAAAGCATCCTAACTTCTACAACACGAGAAAGACTCCCCAACAGAAAAGCTGAGGATCAGGGCTGCTCACCCAAACACCACCACCGTCCTCGACCCACTTCTGCCAACTCGTCGCCTTTTCCAGCGGCAGCTTTTGGCTGAGGAGAACGCAAGCTGAGAAATCCTCACTTTGAACTGCCTGGTGTTCCAAGTTCGAACCTCCGCCGTGAGCGTTCTTTACGATGCGCAGAAAAGCGCCAGGGCGCCAGGGCGTCTTCGCTCCAGAAAACGCCTTTGTCTTCGCCGGCCAAGTTGGTTGGTTCCAGCAACGGCACGGCACTAAAAGAACTGAGCATGGAAGACCAAACTGCAAGAAAACACAGAGTTCTTTTTTTAAATTAGGGTCGAGTCCTGTCTACAGTCTACCCTTCTTCTGTGATGCTCTATGTCAATTATGTCAAGAGCCTTCTCAAAGGAGTCCAACACCTAAACATTCAAACCAAAGACGATCGCTGCTTGGGGGTGTGAAAGATGTTGCTTTCCCCAGTTCAGCCTTCCTCTCGCCCTCTGTCCTTTAGTCTTGGCTTAGCGGACCTTGGTCCTTCGATGAAGAACTCCAGTTCAGCTCGGCCGTGACTGGTGTTTTGACCGGCAGTTGATACATTCAAATGATATATTCAATTTGAGACTTCCAATATTGTACATGTGGACGTGTTTGATTAATCAGTCTACAGAGTCTATATTGGGGCTTGAACTGCTTTCCTGGAGCTTCCCTTTCAGGCAAAAGTGTTAAGCCCAAAATTTGCATGAGACACCACACCTTTTGGCGTGCAAAGTCAGCACGCCTGGGCCACTCTGGGCCTCTCTGGGGTCTGAAGACTGGAACCATTTGGTTGGTCGGAGCACAAAAAGAAATAGAGCTTTGCGCCCAAACCACGTCTCACATCCTTAAAGAAGAGGTTCCTATTCTAACCACTTCCAAGAATAAACAACATGGGTGTGTATCTTAAAAGGGAGATCCCCAACCAGTGGGATGTGGTCTATTTCCATTCTTCCAGGGGGTCTTTGGGAGGTCTCCCCATTTCAATACACACCCTCACACCCACATCTGTCCAACAGATGGTGTTGGCATGTGTCGGCTGATATATATATATATTATATATAGATCGAGATTGAGCCGATGCCAATGCCTAGCACACCTGTTTTGCTTTGGTCCGCCTGGCTTCGTCCCACCGTTCGGAAGACCTCCCGTGGCCCTGGCTGGAGTTTCGGGCACGAATTCAAGCATGGAAATGGTGGTTTGGCCACTATTCATGGCTTATGGCATTCTTTTTGCAGTGAGCTCCAAAAGAGGAATCAAGGAAGCTCAAACTGAACGGAAGCAGAGTGTGCTTGTTGATGTTGAGCTTTGGAAAAAGACTAAGACTAGAAGATCATACAAAGATGTGAACCTTTCAATTTGTAAGCATGTTTCTCTTTGGGGATTAACACACCAGACCGTTGTTTGCTCTGACATTCTTAAGTAGAAGTCACTGGCCGTTGTATCCAGACTGCCGTTTTACCAGTGCACATTGCACGCCACCCTGCCAGACTCAGCTCAGGGGAGGGGTCCAGGTGGGTTACGATGTGAGACCAGCACCCTAATGTCCAAGTTAGATATTGACCGAAAGCCTTATCCTGCTCTTTTTGGAATGTTGCACACTTAGTATTTTCCCGGGTTCTTGGGGCAACAAGACTACAGAAAACTCTACTTAGGATTTGTTTGGTGTAAATCTAAACACTTGAGCTGCTTTGGAGGACATTTGACAAGCTGGGTATAGATATTGCTAGAGTATTCTTAGGTGAAGGGTTGCTGAGCAAATCACATATGACAGCAAGTTTGTATGGTGTCGCTCTCGGCTGACAGTTGAAATCATCTAAAATCGTCTAAAGGTGGAAATTTGTGTTTGAAATTATTTGAGTCATTGACACGACCATTGACACTACTAGAAAACCATGCACACTTAATGACCCAACGTATTACAGACCCTGAACGATCCAGCTTGGAGACCCTGACCCCATTTGTTGGGAGGGTTCACCAAAGCCCTCGCTTTTCGCACTGTGGCGGGGGGTCCTTCCAGATTGGTAGGAGCGCATGAATCAAGCTCTCCGAAGCATCATGGCCGAATCGGCCATCGAAGTGAGGACATGTTAGTTAGCCTGTCAGTGCTGTTTTAGAGGCCTTCTTGCGCAACGCTCCAGGGTCCAAAAGCGCACAGGACCTGTGCGGGCCCCTACAGTCCCTACAGAGGTCACTCAGGTCCTACTGAGTCCTACTGGTGGACGTTCCCCCGAGAGATTCACATTCTGATTCAAGGAGTGAGCTGGGTCGTAATGCTCCTTAAAGGTCTGTTCTTGATCACTTCTGAGAGGATTGTTCTCCTCTTTGGCCAAATCTCGTGAACCATCACCATCGCCCCTCAAAACTGTGGTGACCGATGCAAGCCGACTGGTGGATCGGCCAGGCTGCCTCCTTGGGGACACCCCATGGCCCGGGCGTGCAGAGGATCATCGCCGACGTCCCACGGACGTGCAAAGCGGGGGCGACGGCCGGGGCGGTGAAGAAGCGAAATGAGGCCCAGAGCTGTGGCAGGACTTCAAACGAAAGGATGTTGACCTGGGGGTTGTAGTCTAAAATCCCGAGTAAAACAATGGTTGTCCGGTAAAATAATCCTATATGCATCCTATATCTAGGATTGTTGGAATTCGGGTTTAGGGCTGCACCAGTGGCTGCACCCTAAGAATCAGGACAGGCCCGACACTTGATGAAGCAAAGGGTTGGGGTAACCGGACACCAAGATCCCGGTTGGGATTCGATCACGAGTCCCAATTCGTTGATTCCCAGATTCTCAATTTTTCTCGATTCTCGAGTTTGAGAACCCATGGGTTCTCAAAGAGATTCTCAATTCAATGGATTCTCTTTGATCTCGAGTTGGAGACCTTGACTATTTTTATCTATTTTCGGGTTTTTGACGTCCAGGAACGGATCCTGTTCGACCAAGTGAAAACCATGTTGCCCCGAAGGGTTGCCATCTCGAGGTACCTTTACGTAAAGCGTATTAGATGAAATAGGTTATTAGTATATTGAACCACATGACAAACAGGTCATTGATTCATTAGTGCAAGGGAGCTGCAGGTGACGAAGGGTGCTTGTGGTGAGTTAATTAGCGCACCTTGGATGTTCAATCCTTTTGACCTTTTTACAGGAAGGGATTGTTGAATTCTAGGTACCTGAAGCGAATTGGCAGCCATGACATTCGCTTGATCCTTCCTTCATCAGTAAATCACTACAGTCACTACAGTGTGTGGACCAAAAACGCAAATGGGACTGCTCATGTCAAGAGGGAAGAGAGCTTCAGAGGCTCTTTTCTGAGTGAGTGAAATGTTTCACCAGGACGCAGCCCACATCACGGCGCCCCTTCGGCGGTCCTACAGACGAACAATTGTACGACATGCAGCGTATTGCAGCGTGCTGTGACTACGAAGCACATGTATACTTGAATATACTTGATATTGGCGACTCTGTCAACCCACATAATTTATCTATATCATGTTTGTTTGTTCGTTTGTTTGTCTATCTATGTATTCAGCTAGCTATCTATCTATCTATCTATCTATCTTATGATAATGATGTTGTTTTCAATATACTGTACTTGTTTTGTTTGGCATATCTTGGCATGACTTCCCACAGACCTGTTCGTT